GCGCCCCCCCCCCCCCAACTCTCCAGCTCTCTCTCTGATGCCAGTGGGTAGCTGCTCACTGTCCCAAACCTGCCTTGGACTGGCATACCTCTGCTCAAGCTGGTGCCTCTGCCAGGAATGTCCTCTGCCTTGTCCACCTGTCCTAAACACACATCTGTCCAGTCTCTCTCCTGCTTAAAGCCCTCCCTCACAACAAGGTCTGAGGGGCTTAGCCCAGCCCTGGCCACCTTTCCCCCACCCCCTTGCCAGCCCTCTCCCCCCTTGTCATGCAGGTCCCGGGGTTGCACAGGTGGACACCCCCTGCCCAGCCTGCTGGGGGACTCACATTAGATGCTCTGGGTGTACACCTAGCGATGTGTCCGACATTCAGTAGAAACTTGCACGTGTTCCCCCCGCCCCACCTCAGCCAGCCTTCCCTACATCTGACACACAGTAGGGATACACCAGGACCAAGGTAATCAACCGAACCATTCAGTTATTTCAGACCAGCCAGAGAAGGATGCAGACATTAGGCAGTGGCTGTGCAGCTCAGATTAAAGATGCAGGGCAGAGCCTTCCCCTCTCTGGGCCTGCTACCCCTCCAACGTGAGGGGTGGTTCCTGTCTGGCCAGGGGCCTGGTAAATGGCCGAGAAGATGCTCTGTGGCAGCTTTGGGACCCTAAGCAAGCCACCCTCTTCCACATCCTTTCTGACCAGGGTCAGGCTTTGGAAAGCCTGAACTCGGCAATGGATTGACGAGGAGGAGGGGGAGTCAATGACAAGAGGCACTTTTTGATGTTTTTTTGAGGAGGAGGAGGAGGAGAAGGAGAAGGAGAAGGGTGTAATGGGCAGATTCCTGGGCCAGGGGTGTTTCACCCCGTTTTACAGACGAGGAAAACTGATGCCCAGAGAGCCGATGCCCACCATTGCAGCTCAGTTCCCCTTCCCGTTTTCCCATCCACGTGGCCTGGAGCAAAGTGCTTCCCTCCTAGTACCCTGGCTTCTTCCTCTAGGAAATGGGGTGGACACTCTTCCCTGCTCCCCGGAGCTCTGATGAGAATGCCAGTGGGTACAGAAGAGCTTGGTAAACTGTCAGCAGCGCTAGATAGTTGTGTGGGTGTGTCTTTAAAATGATTCCGATGATCATGCCTTCATTTATTCATTCTGTCATGCAACTCACTTTATTAATAAAACCTCTGGGCCGGAACAGCTAGGGGACTGATGAGCTGGACCTCAGAGTCAGGCAGTTTAGAGTGGGAGTCTGAGCTCTCTGCTTCCTTGCTGTGTGACCTTGGCCAAGTCATCCCACCTTTTTGAACTTCAGTTTCCTCCATGGTAAAATGTGGGGGATGAGAGCACCTGCTTTTCAGTTAGTGTGCCTGGCCCAGGGCAGCCTCCTTGCTGTTATTGTTTTGAGGTCTTTCTGAGAAAGAACCCCCAGGCACCTGGAGCATTCTGGGAGAACTCCAGGCAGGAAGTGCTGCTTATATGGGGCTGCGAGGGATGGGTTGGGGGAAGGGCAGCTTGACGTCTGCAGGTGGTGGGAGCAGGAGAGCTGTTAGGCAGGGGCTGCCCCAGCCACCCCAGAGGACTGTTCTGGTGCCCAGGCAGCCAGGCCCACACCCAGACCCCCGGAGGCTGGAAGTGAGAGGCCAGGGTTTTGCATACAGGTATCGAGTTACTGGCATGTGGCTATTGGCTCAACTGAGACTGGGGTTTACAAAGCAAATTACAAGAGGAACCAACTTGTGCAAATCTGATTTCTGGTCTTGACTCTGACACCCTAGCCCTGTGGTCTTGAGCAGCTCTCTTCCCTTCTCTCCAGGCCTCAGTTTCCTCACCTGTAATTTGGGGTTATAATACCTTCTTCTTACGTAAAGATCACAAGAGATAACTCACATAAAACATCTTTCTTAAAGGGTTGAGATTAGATTTAATCTTTTTGAGGGTTTTCTCCTGAAATCCTCTGTCTGCAACTCCAGTAGGGGCTTCTCAGGCTTGTAGGACCAGGAAAAGAGGTTGAAGACACTTCCTTTTGGCCTTGCCTATCAAAATAAGTTCATTTAAGCAATGAGATCACTTAGGTATTTAGTTAGTAATTTCTGTTAAATAAGAGAAATGGGGTAGGAAGCAAGACAATGGAACCCCTCTGCCCAGCATGGTCCCTATACGGCACTTCTTACTCCCAGGCCACAGGAAGACTGTTAGCTTTGAAGGCCCATCCGCATACCTCCCTGGTTGAAAGGCCTTCTGACCGCGCAGGCCTGCCATGGGACTGGGAGGCCAGAGCCACCAGACAGTCACTTCTACTGAAGAGCCCCAGGGCGCGAGCCTCAGGCCCCCTCCGCCCCTCCTGTGCACAGTGACCTGACACCTTCTGGTAAAGGGCTGCCCACAGCCATGCTTGTATCTCAAAGGCCACTTTCCAGAGGTACAGTTTCTTGGGTCAAAGTCCAATAACCATTTGGGTCCTTGTAAGTTGTCCGCCAAGTTGCCTCTCAGAAAGACTTACCTGCTGACTCAGGGTGCCCTGTGTTGTGATGGGGGCGTCTGCATTAGAGGGCCCATGGGTCATAGGAGCAGGGATGAGGGACGGCCCGTTGCCTCTGCTGTGGCCATTGACACAGTTGCCCAGGACTCCTGTTTGCCTTTGAAGCAGGGATGGTGGGGGTGGGGGTG